ATTAGCGGCCACAGCTGCTAGATTTCGCCGAGTTTTCGTGTACCAAATGACTCACCTATGACTTGTTTGACAAAATTCCCCTGAGAGAAAAAAATTCTTGTGTTTACCCTTTTCCCTTCAATCTCTGTTCTGTTCTTGAGAGAGAGAGAGGGGAAACAAAGATAGGAAGAAGAAACAGAAAAGAAATGCAGAGGACAAGGGATCAACGTTCAAGATCTTCCAGACCCATTACCATTCATGGGTTAGCACAATCTGGGGATGTTGTTGCCTTTAAAAAGTTGCTTAATGACAACCCTTTTCTTCTTAATGAACGCAACCCTGTTGTAAGATCTCTATCTTGCTCTCTTTGGCTTCATGTATAAGTTCTAATATTTTGCTATATGTACACAATCTTTCTTGGCTTTAGCATTTCCATATAAGGGGTTGTTTTTATACATTGGATCATAAAGGTGGGTTCTTCCTTCTTTTTTATCTGTTCGAGCTTTGGTGGACAGTGTGAACTTTGCACATACCCTGTTTATGTGTTAAAAAAATCATGAAATGTCTATAAATATTTGATTTTGAACCCGGTTATTAAATTGGACTATAGGAACCCATAAACTTTAAATCTTGGATCTCCCTCTCACTAGCACGTATCCAGTGGAATTAGTCGAGGTGCGGAAGATGGCATGGACAAGGCGATTATAGGAAAAAGAATATTTGTAGGCTTTATGTATCTAAAGATGTTGGTAAAAAGAAATGTATCTTAAAAGAAGCCAATTTTGCACAAAGAAAATGTGTATTAAAGACCCCCTTAGTTATTGGATAATGCAATTATGTATACCGTGTCATCTGAGGAAATTCCAGTTGAATATCGAGATAAAATCCTCTGGGTTATGCTTTATGCATGCATTTGGGAGCTTGAACCATCAAGCAATTTGGGGCAAGATTAATAGTGACAACAATGAATAAAGCTTAAAAACATTTGAGATAATAAGAATATCCTTATGCATCTTCCACTTTATTGGCTATTAAGAAAAGAGGAAGATGCATATGGATATCCGTATTATTCTCATATGCACAGCCATAGACAAAATCAGTTTGCCCGTGTAGTACATCTATATTGGTTATTGCATTTTAAAAAGCTTTTTATTTTGCTTGTATGTTCTGTTGAAAATCAAAATGTGCAATGCTAATACATAGTAACACAGTTGCTTTGGTAATTGGGTGGGATGGAGCTTAGCTAAATGGTTATTTGGTTGCCAATTCTATAGAGTTAATTGTACTATGCTAGTGTAGTATGTGACTGCAGGTATGGAATATCATGGTCAAATGGTGATATACAACTTCTTATTTGGAGTTATGTCCTGCCCTTTGCTGTTTCGTTATATTGATGTTTTACTTAGATATGGAGTTAAATTTGAGGCTGATACAAGTAGTCGCTGGGTTTATGTTGCCTTTGATTTTTCTTGCTTTTAAGTTCCATTACGAAGTTCCTAAAGGGAGGGAATGAAACAGGGTACTGATAGTTTTGTTAAAGTTTGAAAGAGCTGGCTACTGATCATGTTTACCTGGTCATAGTCTTGTGAAAGCTAGACTAGATGATTGCTTGTGAAAAGTATTTTCTTTAATATTGTTTGCTACTTTTCTGGATGCAGATGGTGCAGACGCCTCTTCATGTTGCTGCTGGTTACAACAATGTCGAAATACTCCAGTTTTTGCTCAGTTGGCCTGGCCCAGAGAAGGTGGAGCTGGAAGACAAGAACATGGTACGTGAAGGAATTACCAGTTGCATATTCTTTTGGAGTTGACTGGACTTTGTCACTCTTGTAACTTCTTGCTTTCTTGTTTTCTGGGGTTAATATTCTGTGCATTGCAGTATGGAGAGACACCATTGCACATGGCAGCCAAGAATGGTTGTAATGAAACAGCAAAGATGCTTCTTGCTCATGGTGCTCTTGTTGAAGCCAGAGCCAATGTGTGTATGTTTACTGCTTCAGTTGTGATTGGACCATGAACACGTGCTTCTCGATTTGTTCTAATTTTCATTTTCATGTGGCTTTTTGCAGAATGGGATGACTCCGCTGCACCTTGCTGTTTGGCACTCACTACGAGCTGAAGATTATTCAACAGTAAAGACATTGTTGGAGTATAACGCGGATTGTAGTGCTGAAGATGATGTACGATAGATTCCATTTATTAAAAACATCCCGTTCCTTTTCTGGTCATTGCTAATAATGAAATATATGAAGTGCAGGAGGGAAAGACCCCTATAAATCATCTCTCTCAAGGCCCTGAAAATGAAAAATTGTGCGAACTTCTCCACCAGTATCTTGATGAACAAAGAAAACGTAAAGCCATTGAAGCATGTAGCCAGACCAAAGCTAAAATGGATGAACTGGAAAGCGAATTATCTAAAATAGTGGGGCTAGATGAACTTAAACTGCAACTCCGCAAATGGGCAAAGGGGATGCTCTTGGATGAGAGGCGTAAGGCCCTAGGGCTTAAAATCGGTGCAAGAAGACCACCCCATATGGCTTTCCTTGGTAACCCTGGAACAGGTAATCAAGTCTACATTACAATTTATAAAGAAAGCATCTTTAGTGATATGTTCTATCATCAATCATCAGAATTTTAACTATTTGTTCCAATACGGCATCGTACAATGTTTCACCTGGTCTATTTATTGAAAGGGTGGGGGCCAATTACTAATGGAATTCCTTGTCTGCTCTCTGTAAAATACTCGCATAGTATTAAAGAGAAGCAAAAAGATTAGGTGAAAACTTATAGAAACAAAGAGCATACCTTGTAGCTCCTGGTTACGTCAGGGATACTGTTGAATGTAGGATGTGTTACACCTTCTTTTACTTTTTGGTGTATGCCTTGCAAACTTGTGTATTTGATGAATATCTTGTAGGTTGATTTATAAGATTTTGTGATGGTACTATTACAGGAAAAACTATGGTTGCTCGAATTCTTGGAAAATTGCTTCATATGGTGGGGATCCTTCCCACCAACAAGGTGACAGAGGTGCAGAGAACCGATCTGGTTGGTGAATTTGTTGGTCATACAGGGCCAAAGACAAGGAGAAAGGTAAGCTTTCCATGACTATTGAAATTCTTGCACATTTCCCATTAATGTTTTATCTTTTAGCTCACCAAGTCTTGGGCAAATATGCAGATCCAAGAAGCTGAAGGGGGGATTCTTTTTGTTGATGAAGCCTATCGATTAATACCTATGCAGAAGTCGGATGACAAGGACTATGGTTTGGAAGCACTAGAAGAGATAATGTCTGTTATGGACAGCGGGAAAATTGTAGTAATTTTTGCAGGTTACAGTGAACCAATGAAGCGCGTGATCACTTCTAATGAAGGTTTCTGTAGAAGAGTAACAAAGTTTTTCCATTTTGACAACTTTAGCTCTGAAGACCTTGCCACAATTCTTCATCTTAAAATGACCAATCAAGCCGATTGTAGCTTGCTATACGGATTCAAGTTGCATCCTTCATGTAGCGTTGATGCTGTTGCAGCACTTATCAAGGAAGAAACTACTGAAAAACAGCGCAAGGAGATGAATGGAGGTCTGGTCGATCCATTGCTAGTTAATGCAAGAGAGAATTTGGACCTGAGACTCAGTTTTGACTGTATAGACTCAGACGAACTACTAACAATTACTCCAGAGGATTTAAAAGCTGGTCTTCAATTGTTATCGCAAACAGGAGTAGCTTAGTCCTGACTTCTCTCCGAGCCAAATAGAGTGTTGAACAACGAGTTGCCACAGAAGTTATACGTAATATTTTGGGAAGAAAGTTATAGAGACTCTCATATATCCAACCTTGGAATGGATGTTAGCTAGAGGTAGATTATCTCAGGCTTGCAGGTCTGTCTGTTCTCCATGGATTACTTCCTCATGAATTTCTCTCTTCTTTTTCGCATATTGCAACCTTGCATTAGTTAGTTCATTGCATTCATTCTTGCTTTTTTAAATATCCATTTAAATTATTTATTATACTTAGGATATTCTTCATGTTGTTTGTTATAGGTTGGATGAAAATTGTTGTACTGAACTGCTACAAAAATTGCATCTTTGTAATGTTAAGAAGTTGTGTAGTTTTTGGGGTTCCTTCTAGTACTCCATTTCGTCAATTTTTTGTTATATTGATTCTCCGAGGCTCTATCGGAAACAGTGAAGGTAGGAATAAGGTTTTCGTAGACACCACTCTCTTCGAACCACTGGGTGTTGATTCTCTAAATATTTCATCACAGAGGGAGAATTGTTCTTGGAGGATCCTATAAGTTCTTAGTCAGAGAACAATTTAATAATGCCTTAATTCTAAGTAAGTTGAGATCGACTATATGAATTTTCACTATCTATATTGATCCAACTAAGCTCTGTATCATTTCAACTTGATAAATAATTTGTTTCTCTAGCACTTATAGTTCTTTACGTTTTCTGCATATAAATTTCTAACAAGCTTAAAAGATTCCTAGCAAACATTAGACATCATTTCTTAGTTAGCAACATCAGCAACGACCAACTAGAGTATACGCATACTTACTTCTACCTATTAGAGATAGAAAAGTCATTTTCAATAGATTCTCACTTACAATCAAATATTTTCGAGCCATTTGAAAAGGGAATATAAAAATGTGAACAACAACAATAGAATAATTTAAAATGAAGTGCAATACTCAACACATAAGAGATAACTATTCAAAGATTTCTCATATGTTATTTTCTAATTTTCTTATAAATAAAAATAAAGATCTCTCTGATGAAAAAAGACACAAACTAAAAATAAATAGAGAGGTAGAAAATCAATCGACACGGTAGAGGAAATGAGTGAACAAGTTCTTTAGAAATCAATCTAGTTTCAACTTATGAATAAATAAGACATGCAAGTGTGATCAAATTGATTGAATAAGTGATCTCGCAAATGAAGAATTTTAGATTCAAATATTTTTTGCAAGTTAATAACACAAAAAATAATTTAAAAAAAAAAACATAAATAAGCTTCGACTTTGCGTGCAAAATAGCCACAAGGCAAACCAGAAAGCAGCTAAGAGTAACAGATTTTTTTTCATCACTCCATTTCTCTTCACCATATCCTCTTCTCTCTCTTTCTCTCTCTAAAAGAAAAGAGCTATGGTTCATCGCGCTCTCTCTCTACTCTCTTCAACGTCTCCATCTTCAATTCCTTCAAATTTCAACTCCGATTCACCTTCCCCGTCGTTTTCCTTCCGGCGAATTCCTCGTTTTCCGAAGCTCAACGTCTTGTCGAGGCAGGTATTGATTGATAATAACAACAATGACTCGCCGGAGCAATTCCTGCAGAATAATTCGATTGCTGATTTTATGAGGTTCAAAAAAGGAACCAGCTCTGATGATAGCGTTAGCACAGCTGAATTGCAAACCGCCGTCGTTTCTTATCGGAAGAAGTTCCCTTGGTCTCTTCTTCAACCTTTTCTCCAGGTTAAAATTCCTCTCACTGAACTTTCAGAGATAGTGTGTTTATGCGTGTATTATACTAAGCATTCTCTATTTAAACACTTGAACTAAGAGTGTTTTAATTGAAAACGTCAATTCCTAATAAAATATTCCAATTAGACAGTTTCAGCTCAAATTTTAGAATTCCTTTTTTGCATATGTTCTCATTAATCTGTTAAGTTAAACATATAAAATATGTCATTTTTTATAACTATGCTCTATTGGAGATAACATATTTTATGTGGTTACCTTAACTATCTAATAGACCAATGGAAACTCGCACGGAAGTTTTTTTATAATTTGAATTGGAAGTGTCTAATTGGAACACTTTACTAGTAGTGAGGTGTTTGATAGGAACAAGGCTTAGTTGAGTGTTAAAATGGAATATCCTGACAAATTTAAGGAGTTGGCTATGTAAACACACGTGGTTTACATTGGACTTAGATGCGAGTCTTATTGGAGAAATGATTCAATATTTGGCTACATTTTGTAATTCAAATTCTGAAGTTTGATTGTGATTGTGAAATTCTGATTGTGTAGGTTGATTTGGTGTCGACAATACACATTGCTGATAAAGAGTAAGTTCAATCTCTCAGAATCCAGAAAAATGTTGTGGAGCTTCATGTTATGTTGATAGGAAGTGAGATTATTTCTGTTTTTAGCTTGATTGTAGAGATCTAGATTGATTAATTATGAATTCATCATCAATTAGTTGAAGAAGTTAAGATTATCTTTTCTTGTGATGGTTGCCCTTGAACATGGTAGCATCTATGTTTTATGTGAAACACCAAACAATATAGCAATTTTTTGTAAAGGTTGACACACAAGACATATGTGAGGAATAAGAAATGTATATGATAAACTAGTTATAATGCTGTATAACTCAGTTTGTATGAATGAAAAGTAATTGATTGGATAATGTTGCACATTTTTGTCGTTACTCTCAAATGGTAATGGATAGTATCCATGCCATAGTGGTAATTGTGTTCCCTTATATTTTAAGATTTTTGCTATGCATTTAGTGACTTTAATATGGAGGTGAATTTGTGAAGATTCTGTTTGTTAAATTTACTTGTCCCATCGTTTGATCATTGGGTGAAGTGAGTGCCAAAAGATATCCTTATTCCCCCTTTAAGATCTAGGCAACAACAACAACAATGTCTAATCCCAAGTTAGTTTGGGTCGGTTATATGAATCCTCACAACCCATCTGCTCCACTGGAAAATCATCAAACACTAGTAGTTCTATACATTTTCTACTAACGTACAAATCTCAAAAAGATTAAAAGACTCTTAGCAAACATTGAATCTAACTTAAATTACCAACATGACTAAAGTTTAATTCCAACTGATTGCCAAGTCTTCATGAATTTCAAGAGATAAGCAACTTTTCTCTTAGTGCTTTTAGGTCTATCATCGCCTTTTAAGACTTCCAATTATTGTGGCTGTACCACTATGAACTGATGCATTTGGAGGTTTGCAAAGTAAATGAAAACCCCATCTCAAATGACAATTCTCTTAATCTGGAAGAGCTCTGCTTTATCTTCTATTGAGATCTGTCTAAAAGGAGCTTTTTTACTTCCTCTTCATACGTTAGATCCTTGAATGTAGGAAATGGCATATCAGATTTATTGGTGCCTTAAAGAAGAATGGTTAGTTACAACTACAACTATTCATACTGGGAATTTTTCCCTACTTGTCTTTTTCCTTAAAACATCATCTCAAATAACATTCTCTAATTCCATGAAGTGCTCTGCTCTATGTTCTATTGAAATATGTCCAAAAGGAGATTTTTTGCTTCCTCTTCGTACATTAGATCCTTGAATGTAGGAAATCAGACTTATTGGGGTTTAAAGAAGGATGGCTAGTAACTAGTTACAACTACAACTATTCATACTGGGAATTTTGTGCTACTTGTCTTTTTCCTTCTACTTAGATATTTGGATGTCTCTACAGATATATATATATATATGCTCTAAACTCTTTGTACCTATTTCAGAATGTAATTATTTCTCATCTTGTCTAACAATTGTGTGGCCACACATATCCATCTTAACATATGCATTTTGCGACACTCATCTTGTTGATATGTTGGACCTTAGAGGTCCATCATTTACTCCCGTATAACATTACTGGTCTTAAAAAAAATTCTATAGAAATTGCCTTCCATTTTGGTAGTTATCCTCATATGGCATAACACTCCAGTAGTACTCACTTAGCGAAGAAACAAACAATCTAGTAGCACTTCTCCATTTCAACTGTCCTATTTTAATTTTCTGTGCCACAGTTTATGGATTGTACCATTCTCTTGGAACATCAAATCTAGACATCAGAAGTTTTTGCATTTGGCACTATAATCTCATCTCAACTTCACTCTTATATTGGTGAAACTTACATTGTATATGTTTTGTCTTACTTATACTTATTTTAAAACTCTTATTTTAAAATTCCTAATTGCATGGGGGTCCCTGTTGTTGGAATAAGTATGTTCTTAAAGAGTTGTTGTATTGGTATTTTTGGTGTTGCAATTTTCTGTACTTTCTAACTTCTTGAGCCAATAGTTTTTCATTTTATTGTTTCCATGCAAAACTGTGATTAGCAATTGGGTAGTTAATGTCGGTTGAAGAATCATTCTAAGTTCGGTTGCTTAACCATATCAAACGATAACAGTACATTCAACTTATGGCTACTAATCTATGATCTGTCAGGTTATCAGAAGGATTTGATAGAAGTAATCATTGTTTCGATAATTAATTATAGCTCCATACCTTCATGAATCAGTTTTTGTGTAGTGTGTGATTGCTTATCTACCATAGCTATCTTGATTCTGTCTCGTGATCATGGTTATCTAATTTTTGTCCCATAATGTTTTATCTGATATCTTTATGTGTATCCTGATGTCAAGTATGGTCCATGGGAAACATCTTAACAACCTGCTATTTCTCTATCATTCTTTTTTGATCTTGTCTGACAGAACAGTTGAACTTGGATTGATATTGTATTTGCAGGTACTTTGCGGCCCTCCAAAAGGAACTTGAACCATATGATTGCATTCTCTATGAGATGGTAGCCAGCAGAGAAAGTTTAGACAGTAGAAAAAGTTCTATTTCTAGGAAGAAACTAAAAAGTTCAAGATCACGGGGATTTAATATTATAGGATTCATCCAACGGCAGATGGCAAGATTTCTCACCCTTGATTTCCAACTAGATTGTCTCGACTATGAGGGTGAGAATTGGTATCATGCGGATCTTGATTTTGAGACCTTCAAGTTACTCCAGGTACTCTATGTGATAACTTTGATGCTAAGTCCTTTACTTGTTAAACAAATTGCTGATTATTCAGGATGTTCACACACTTGTAGCCTCTCTCTCACTTCCCTTGGTTCATTTCATGTCCATTTGAGCGCATGACACTTGATTTATGTGTATCTCTATAGTACGGATTGAAAGTTGATTTATATGTATGTACATATGGTGTGTGTATGAATATATTATTTGTAATTTTGTAGGTCAGACCAACATTTCTAGTTTTCTCTTTTTAAACGTGCCATTTTTATCTTTCTTTTATCAGTTTTTTTCTAGTGCAAGTATATATTAATTCTATGTCCACACAACCGGATGATCTCACCATGTTATATATAACCTTTTCAGATTGAAAGAGGCGAGAGCTTCTTCACATTTGCCAGAGATATGACACTTAGATCAACAAAAGCGCTTGTGCAGCCTACAATCCCAGATGATCTTGACCCTTGGAGATCCAAACTTCTATGGGCTTCTCGGGTGCTGCCGATGCCTCTTGTTGGACTTCTTATCATTGGAGGTGTTTGTACAGATGTGAAAAGCCAACCATCTGAATATCCTGAACTAGAAGCCTTGTCTAGACTTGATTTTGGTGCTGCAATGAAGGTCTTCCTAGCAAAGCGACTAACATCCGAGTAAGTTTAATTTGGGCAGCCAAAATTGAGTTTTGGTGTTGTAGCTGTCTGGAATATTTTTATTGTTCTCTCTTCTTTATCCAATGAGAATAAGAAGTATCATAAAGAAAGTACCTCCATGAAAAAATGCAAAAAGGAGATGCAATGGGACTCTTTCACGAACACCCTCCTCCCTCCTTAGCACATGTAATTCATGAATGCAAACTTAGATCATACAGTCTATAGGTTTTTGCATCGACGGAAAGGATAACTCTCCAGATAATCGCCTTTGCTCAATGCTAATTTTTGTTTACATTTTCCTTGCCTGTAATGCTTACAATTATTTATTGTTTCTTGTCTTCATTTAAGATCAAAGCTTCTTTTGTTCATACTTGGTAATCCCTCTCTTCATTTACTAAGGTAGTAACGCCTTCCCATTATACATGTAGATTCACACAGGTCACAGCTGATGTAGAAGCGGAATCTGTTATTATCGGAGAGAGAAACAAAGCTGCATTAGAAGCACTTCAAAGAGCTATGAACGAGGGTCATAATAAGATTGCTATCCTTTACGGTGGTGGGCACATGCCAGATTTGGGACGTAGGCTACGAGAAGAGTTTGACCTTGTCCCTTCTGAAGTACAGTGGATAACTGCCTGGTCCATCACGAACCGCAACCTAACAACCAATTCACTTCCTTTGTTGAAACAAATGGCAGAAGTTTCAGGTTGGCCTCTAAATCGATATCAGACTTTAGCTCTGCTAATTTTCTCTTCTGTTCTTGCATTGGATCTTTGGTTTTGGGAACTCTTCTTTGGTACTACAGCTAATTGGGTTTCTCAAGTTGCATCAGACATTTCTCAATATGTTCATATGCACAATTGAAGTAATTAAATTTATTAAAACAATTGGGTCAATGAAGCCTTGTGTACATATTTCTGGATTCTATAGTTATATATATATATCTTGGATTCTTGTTATTATAAGGTTATATATCCTTCATTTTACATATAGGACTTGGGGTTGTCTGTTTGTGTTCTTGGCCTTCATAACTATTAGGAGTACTAGTTTGGACATATGATCGAAATGGAATAGTCCTAAAAATTGAATGTCATGGATTTTTTTTTATTTTTTTCATTTTATTACCTGGTGTCTGGTAACTGCTTTGGAGCTCGATTTAATCTGGATTCGCACAGGAAAATCCCAATGATCAAATGCTTTCTACCAGAAATGACTTCATTTCTAAGACTACAACTCGAGATATTTGGTTATGATTGTACGATAACCCATCAAGTTGTTTCCATAATCAATATAAGTGTATGCTAAAATCATGCAGAACCTACATGGTAGAGGAAGATTAAGAATCGCTAGTAATTGCCGATCAGTCAAATTCATTTCCAAGCCTGATACAAAATGACCAAACAAAAAATGTTTTCGAAACTATTTAAATTAAAATAACATACTTAAAACAGAGAAACAACACTAAAGAGTTCCACAGGCAATAGCCCTCTGCCCCTCCCACGGCTTTAGTTGGTAAAAATGTGGTACGCGATATATGGGTTAAATGCACGTTACGAGTTCAAAGTCCTGCAACAAACAAGGTAGTTAAGTGGATAAAGATAAGAGGATGAACTCATTATCCATTGAGTTTCGAACCTCCTATCACTATCATTTTGGAAGATTTCTTAATTATTAAAGAGAAAAGAATTTTACATATGTATGGATTAGGCGCTTACAAATTCGAACCAATTTAGCTGGAGAATGATCTAGGAATGGACTCATTATTATCGAGTTTCAAACCTTGAATTACTATAAGTAGACTTATTTATTATCGAGTTTTGAACCTTGTGTCACTACTCACTAGCCTTCAAGAATTTTTTATTTAAAAAAAATGGAGAAAGCAGTAAACATTCTTATATATCTTTACTTAAACAATTAACAACTTGTCGCTTTGGCCGAGTGGTTAAGGCGTGTGCCTGCTAAGTACATGGGGTTTCCCCGCGAGAGTTCGAATCTCTTAGGCGACGTTATATTTTTGCCATCCTCGAACCCTGGATATGGAGCGATTTATCCTTTAAAGTAAGACTTAGTCGCCTTTGATATGTAGCGCTTTATCCTTTTGCCATCCTCGAACCCTCGATATGGAGCGATTTATCCTTCAAAGTGAGACTTAGTCGCCTTTGATATGTAGCGCTTTATCCTTCAAAGTGAAACTTAGTCGCTTTTGATATGTAGCGTTTCATCCTTCAAATAAGACTTTTGTAAAATTCACCTTCGATATGGAGCGATTTATCTTTCGTAAAATCAAATTAGTTGACCATCAAAAGCGGATACCGAACACTAAGTAAAAAATAAAAAATAAAATAAAGAGTATATATGTATAATGTATAATGTTACTAGTACAATTTAATTTTTATGTGTTAAAGAGTACAATTTACTCTTTATGTATTTCTCAGTGTCACTAGTACAAAAATTTAATCATAAATTTGAGCAAATTGAGAGACATATTTCACTATGACAAGTACTTCACATAATAGTGTACAAAAAAAACAAATGCACACATTCAAATTGCTGTCCTAAAGTTTGTCCAATATATATTGTCAACTCACAAATTGTTGTCCACCAGCTAGGGATGTACATGACCGGGTTGGTTCGGATTTTTCAAATACCAAACCAAACGATTGTGTCGAATTTTTAAATTTATAAATCAAACCAAACTAATAAACCTCGGATTTTTTCAAATTTTTGGATTTTTTCGATAAAGTTTGCATACAAACATATAATTAACTTGTGCTCCAAATATTTCTTTAATCCAACCAAAATACAATTATCGAAGGTGTTTCTTAAGAAAATAACACAAAATATGAGATGAGTACTGATGACACTAAAATATTCAATAAAAAATAATAATGAAATCATCATATAAAATAAATATTGCAAAGTCATAATGAAAATGATCATAATTTAAAAGTACTAAATCATGCTAAAATAAGTTTAAATAAGTATTAGTTACATTACTAAATTAATTTAAGGAAAATTAAAATTAGATTATGTATTTTAATTGTCTAAACCAATATAAAACTAAAGAACAAATATTCAATATTATTGTCATTCTTAGTATTGAATTGATTTTCTTTTTGCATTAGTATTAATTTGATTTTGATTTAAGTGTTATTATAATTATCAACATCTATGAACTATAATCTTATTGGACCATTTAGAATTCTAAGTTTTAAACTTGAACTAATATATTAAAAATAAAAACTATGAAATATTATAAGAAATATTTTAAAATTATATCAAAGTAAATATTTTATGTATAAAATAAAATTTTAAAATTACATATATAATGTCAGGTTGGTTTGGTCTCGGGTTGGTTTTTTTTAGTTAAAACCAAACCAACCCAAATATAGTCGTTTTTTTTTTCCAATACCAAATCAAGTCAAACCAAACCACTAGTCGGGTTTTTTTCCGTTTTGACTCGATTTGCGATTTGGTTCGATTTTCGATTCGGTTTTATACACCCCTATGGCTCCAGCAATGCTGAAGTACATATTCAAATTGTATTGATAGGTAAAAATAAATAAATCATTTCACAATCAATATATATAACTTAAACGCTTATATTATTTATGCGTTGTTGCAGAGCTACCAACTCTAACTAAGAGATCTGAAAAAATATAAATTCGCACAGCGAGTGAATACACTTCACTATATATCAACAGAATTCAACGATTTATAAATACAAAGAAAAAAAATATATTTTTATCCTATTTTTCTAATAAATAAGATTTGAAATGTCTAATAATTTATAGAAAAAGGAAAAATGAAAAAACATTGACAGAATAGTATTTTCATGAGTTCTGAATGAGGTCTGACCATAATGCTTCTGAACTGACCTCCCACATAAAGTTACTTATGCTGTGTTGAGTCTGTTTACTTCAGTTCCAATTTATTAATTTTTTTTTTTTATCACAGTTTATGTTAGATGAGGAAGGCGAGATTGAGATAATTTATATATGTGTTGAGGAGATGCATAAATATCTTATTATTATTTTTATTTTATTATTACCTATTGATTTTTTTATTCAGTTATTGTACTATTTGTTATAGTTACTACCGTTCTTTTTCCCACTATTTTCTACCTGACTTCTTTTACAATATATTGTATTTCTTTTTTCTTACTGATTTTGATATAGTTTACTTAAGCTGAAGATTTATTAAAAATAACCTCTCTATTTTCATAAAATAGGAATAAAATTACGTATACGTCACCCTCTCCAAATCCACTTCTGAAATTACATTAATACTTAGCTATGTGTACCAAACGACATAAGTACTAATCAACAATTGTACAATTTTTCAGCCAAATGATAAATTATACTAAGGTTTTGGTCGGGTGGTTAAGGAGAATTAGCAAACATTATTTACTAATTTTTCGGAGAATAAATTGTATTGATTTGAGGAAATATCTAACACAAATAATTTATTTTTTTGAGGGGAACCAAATATAGACAATCAATTCTTTAAAGAATAAAATAAAATAAAGAATGTGTTTTTACTGGTGGTGTAGAGGTTAATGAATTAATTGTTAAATAATAATCAAAACTAAAGAGAGATAATTAAGCACAATATCTCAAACTATAGGAAAATATAGTACTACTAGTACAAACAATTAGGTTTTATAAAATTTGCTCTAAAATAAATTAAACCTTAAAGGGTTTAGAATATACACAATTCTTTTTAAATGTTTGTTCATATAGATGACACACAGTTAATCTAAAAAATTCACCTCTTGATCAAGGTAAATGACCACAAGAAACTTTATTCGAGAAGGAGATCGTGGATCGTGGTGATGAAACATATGAAACTTAACTTGAAGATTTCCCCCCCTGAGAATATGAATAAAATTTCACATTAGTCTATATATAAAGTGCATGGATACTCTAATAGTTTTTGAAAAAATCGTACGAATTTAACCCAAAACAAAATATTACCGCATATTAAAAGTATATATAAAACATATAAAATGAAAATTGAATTATGTATTGACTAATGGTAGGACAAATAGATAAGCCTTTTAACTTCAAAATTTTCAGAGCCCATTTTGCTAGGTGACATACAAAAGCATCAAATCAAAGGAAAAAATCAAGAAGCAATGTCAAAGGCCATATATATTGTTTTTTTCTTGTCATATTGAGCTGAATTCAACTTTAGAAAGCTGAACCCATCACTTATTTTATGAAAAAAATGTCTCCTAGCTTTTGTATTACTTCTTCTATTACTAAAGAAGAAGTGCATGCATTTGTTTGTTTGTTTTTTGGAAGCTTCTATGATTTCAAGATGCTCTTGAAAATTGATAGATCTACCGACAAGGATTGTGGTGGAGTGGTAACAGGTAAGTACTTATTCATCCTTAATTAGAGGTCACGAGTTTGAGTCTCTATGGGTACAGGGTTGCCTTTTTTAGGAGCACTTTACCGAACTTTTCGGTATAAATTCAAATTTAATTGGACTCCAAAATGTGTACCAAACACCGAATGAAAACCCAAAAAAAAATAGTTTGAGAGATAGTGTAAGAGAAAGGGAGAAACTATATATTTAAATTTTAAGTTTTTTTGTACATATACTGATAGTATCTTGCTGATTTGTTGTCATGTTATTTTGCTATCATGCTTCAAATATTCTTTATTTATACAGAGTTTCTATCAAAAACAATTTTTCTATCCTATAAAAGTAGGGATTATAATAAGATATATCACAGTTTAAAAATAAGCATTGAAATGTGTGAATAATAATTTAGTCGAACCTTAAGACGAATATGGCGGATAAATTTTTATCCTAGAGAGTAATAAGACATATCACATTTTAGTCTATCCTTAATCAGAAATTTCGAGTTCAAATCTTTATAGGAATAGAAATATTTTTGTTGAGAGCAACACATTCAAAAATAAGCATTGAAATGCA